AGGGGGGACTCACCGGGGTCGGGGTCGGTTCCCACGGCGGGGATCGGGCTCCCCTTCTTCCCTCCTCCTCCTCCTCGTCCTCTTTCTTCTTCCTCCTCCTCCTCCTCCTCCTTCTTCTCGTCCAAGGCGTGCAGCTGGCCGGGCAAACGGGCTGCCCCCTTCCCCGCAGGAGGAGGGAGGAGGGAGCTCAACAGATGGCTGCACACAAGGGAACATCTGGGAGGAGGAGGAGGAGGAGGAGAAGGAGGAGGAAGGAGGAAGGAGGCAGGACTTGCGCTCGGCTGTGCCACTCCTGAGCTGGCAGACCCTCCTTATGGGGCAAAAAAGGGGGGGGTCAAGGCGGCTTTGCACACACACACATCCTCTCCCTGCTGCTCTGCATCCCTCCTGGATAAAATCCCTTATTGTCCCTTCGATTTTTGGGGGAATCTCTCCAGAGTCAACTTGAGAGCTCTTTTCAGCCCTGACCTCTGCATTTATCGTCGAATCATAGAATTGTCTAGGTTGGAAGGGACCTTTCAGATCACCAAGTCCAACCCTCCACCTAACACTGACAAAAAAACATTTGTGGGCTTGGGGTCCTGTTCCTCAACACCACCTGCACCCTGTTTTCCAGGCGTGTGGGGACAGGGTCAGCTCCAGCACCTGGGGGGAGGCTGGGTTGGGGAAGGCAGAGCTGAGGTCTGAGCAATGCTTGCCCCATGCTGTAAACTCAGGTTCACAGTTTTTGGGGACACGACACCCTTGAACTGTAGATGCTGGCTTTGGGGTGCACTGCTCCTGGTTCAGCAGCCAGACCCACCACCAGATGCTGCAGGAGACTGGGGGTAATAAATTTGTGTGGTGTGACCCTTGAAATAAGATAAAACAACAACAACAATGACAAAATTTTGTAGTAATCCACAGTTTGGGGAACAAAGTCTGGACTCCATCACCATGGGATGGGCAGTCTCTGGGGCTTCTCCAAGGAGGATGTGAAAGGGCAGCCCCACACCAGAATTTCTTGACCATCAGGTGCCTGGCTCTGCCCGAGTGGTGATGCTGGGGATGGAAATAAGAAATAGAACCCCACCTAATGTCATGGTGACTCTTTGGACAAAGGAAAAAGGAACTCCGGGGTCTGTGCGTCACAGGGGACTCATTCTGTGTCTGGCCACAGCTTCCCACACCACACCCCTTGCATGCCAGCCACGATCAGTGGCCTGTGACAGGCCCGTGCCAGGTCCCAAACCATATGTTTGCCTTTTTCTTAAAAAGTTTAGGTTAAGAAGGTACAATCAGGCTCCCTGCGTTTACTTCTAGCAGTGCTGGTGCACCACATCCCCAATACCAATGGTCAAAGTTTGCTTGGACCATGGCCCTCACGCAAGCGAGGTTTGTGTTAGCATCTCTTTGTGATGAAAAGGTGGTGAAAAGGTAGTTTTTCACTCCGCTCAGCTGCTTTTTCTGTCTCAAAGTCCATCACTCCATGACCTGCCTGAGGATTTACAGCATGACCCCCTTCAGTGAGCACAGCTCTGGTCAGAGGGGCTGGGGCTCGAGGTAGGAGGTACCGGGGCCACTAGGAAGAGATCACGGATGGTCAAAGTTTGCTTGGACCATGACCCTCACGCAAGTGAGGTTTGTGTTAGCATCTCTTTGTGATGAAAAGGTGGTGAAAAGGCAGTTTTTCACTCCGCTCAACTGCTTTTTCTGTCTTAAAGTCCATCACTCCATGACCTGCCTGAAGATTTACAGCATGACCCACCTTAGTGAGCACAGCTCTGGTCAGAGGGGCTGGGGCTTGAGGTAAGAGGTACTGGGGCCACTAGGAAGAGATCACGTTGGTTGTTCTCCACCCAAGTGTGGTTTATCTGAGTTATGTTCTCACTCTGCGCCCACGTCTTGGGATCTGGTTTTTGGGAATCACCATCAGACTCCAAGTGCTCTGCCAAGGAGCAGCCCCAGGGAACCAGGCAGAGGAAATCTGTGCTCAGGACTTAGCTGAGCCAAGTGCTTTTGGGGAAAACCCTGGGAAAAACCTTTAGTCTGGGTTGTGATTTTCCATATAAAGATGGCAGTGATATCTCCAGACATGAGCAATCTGCTGTAAGGATCCATGTACCCAGGTCTTTGCGTTGTTCATTTTTGTAGCTCTGGGTAGGGGAAGTTACCCAGCTGAAAGCTTTTGTTTAATTTTCCATTTCGTTCATTTTTCCATGCTAGGTCTTTGCCATGTCAAAATTGGCTTCAGTAAAGCAAAACTCCAGTTTGAAGCTGGAGGAATTGGGGATTAAACTTTCCAGCTGAGATAAAATGCAGCAGTCAGCACTTTCAGGTCTGGTGATTCAAATGGACAAACTGAAAAACGTGAACCTGGCTTGAAACCTCTGAATTTTGCTAAAGAAAGATCTTTAATTTTTGTTTTCTTTATTTGAAGCCTAAAATGGGCATGCTTCTGCAATAACTACTGGTAAATGGACACGGGAAAATTGTGTCCACAGAATTTTGTTGCTCATATGAAATAATGGCCAAGTGAGAGGTGTTCCGGTGTGGACTTCTAATGCTAAGAGAGATTTTAATAAAATTTCCCCAGTTTGATGGGGTTGGCCAAAATCATGCCAGGGAGAGGGCTGAAAATTTAATTCTGGTTGATCTGGGGGTAGGAATTAGGCCCAGAGTGATGCTAACACAGAATTAGCCTTGGTGTGCATCCATCTCTGCTCCTTAGGTCCTGCAACCTTCTTCAGCTGAGACCTGTACTTCTCCTGAAAGGGGGGTGTCCTTCTCCTGGTGCTCGGTCCATGCCCTGCAGAGCTGGATGACAAAGTGACACCTCCTGCTGTCATGGTCCACTTTTCTGTACCATGAAGCCTTCCATTGCGAAGTGCCTTGGTTGGACAGTCCACAGGTGGATACTTCCTCCAGCAGATCAAACCCAATTAATTATCATGAGAACACCAAGGTCATTTTTAGAGGACGTTTAGTCTTAAGGTCATGTTTACCACCATTACAATTTCTACTTCTTTGCCACATGGGAACAATGTTTTCTTAAAGATAAAACAGGATTTTCCCAGAGCTGTGTGGTCCCATGGGCTGAACCTTCACATGCAAAGCCAGCCACGCTGTGTTTGGACAAATTTCCCCTCCTGTCTTGGAAGGTTCACTGCCCAAATACCCCAGAGTAGGATAAAAGATGGAAATAGAAAGGGATTTGCTTGAGGTCATGCTGCACCAAATAATTCTAGGACCTTACTTAGGGTCACAGTCACTGCTGTAGCCATGGGTTACCCTCCTTTTTGCTTTGGAAAAGTAGATAAAGAGGGCTCTACTAAAATTATTGCATTTCAGCCTGATTTTAAGGTCTAGATATTAGACGATTTTTCCAGTCCCACCTTGAAACATCTGAAAGCTGAGTGCCAGATCTTTAAGCTGTCCCTCACCCCAGTTTCCTTCCTCTTTTGCTGTTTCCAGGCATGAGAGTTTGGTCTGCATTTATGGCACGTTTCTCCAGCTCAGCTTTGCACCAGTACAGATGACTCCTGTGTTCAGTTTTTTTCTCTGGCCCTCTGGTCCTGAACAGCATTCCTCCAAATAATGCTCATATACCATTGCTGCAGAGACCCTAACAGGTCTGGACACCATAAAACATCTCCCAACTCGGTTCTTCCAGGGCCATGCTGAGCTTTCCTCTGACCTTCTCTTCCCATAAGACACCAGCTCAGTTCCTCGTTGCTCAGCATCTGATAACATCATGCCCAGTTTGACTTGTTAAAATCCAGACAACTCTTAAGCCAAGGGAAAGTTATCTGAGTCACTCAGAGTTTCTCCTGAATAAACTCTAGTAGACACATATGAGGCAAAAGGAGTTTAAGAGTCAATGAGGATGACATAAGCTGGATTAGTAAGAAGTGTTGGAGTTTTGCCCCGTGGTGTTTGAGTCCCTCCCTGAGATCTCATTTCCCTTCCTCTTCTTATGCAATCCCAGGAAAGGAGGTTTCTCCTGCACCAAACTGTTGGAAAAAAGCCACAAAACCACATGGGTGCCTTGCAGTCCCCAGCCCCGATCTTCTCCTCCTCATGTCCTCCTCCCTGGGTATTCCTGCAGACAAAGGAGCCTTCCCTTTCTGCTATGCAAGGGATTGCTCATGAACTCTCTCTCCTTTGTGGTTGAGATAGATAGAGCAGATGTCTTAGGAAGTTGTCCAAGCTCGATTGCATCTGATGGGATTTCTCAGAAGGAAACACCCGGAGCAGCAGCCAGCATGATGACTTCTGGAAGGGTTTAGTTATTGCAAGAAGTTAGCAAAAAAAAAAACCCACCACGAGTTCCTACTGGGAAAATGTGAAAAAGGTAGGTCGATCTGCCTGCTCTGACAATGTTTCCTATCCTTGTGGGAGTCCTGTAGCAAGTCAGAACTAGTAATAGGGACTTTTTTAACTCCTGTAACAAGCAAGACTTAAGAAACCACCACACCTTCAGCTGTGCCCATGGCATTCGGGGGAGCCTGGCTGTCTTGGAAACACATTGCACTCTACTGTACACAGCCTTGGTCAAAAACACAGGTTATTCTGTAGGTCCATCCTCACCCGTTGCCCCTGGACCATATCTTATGGATGGAAGTCCACTCCTCAGTGACTGACTGCAGTCACTCACTTGATCTGTGTCGACCAATGGGCTTGTGTGGAGAACTCAACTCTTTGCTCACAGTGTTAATTACTTTTTTCTTGATTATGAGCCAGTAGGTAAAATACATGAAGAATATTCAGGAAAGAGGGGACAGCAGAGGGCCATGAAAATGATCAGAGAGCTGGAGCACCTCCCCTATGAAAACAGACTGAGAGAGTTGGAATTGTTCAGCCTGGAGAAGAGAAGGCTCCAGAGAGACCTTATAGCAGCCTTCCAATATCTGAAGGGAGCTACAGGAGAGCTGGGGAGGGACTCTTGATCAGGGATTGTAGCAATAGGACAAGACGTAACAGTTTTAAACTGAAAGAGGGGAGATTTAGATGAGATATTAGGAAGAAATTCTTCACTGTGAGGGTGGTGAGACACTGGCCCAGGTTGCCCAGAGAAGCTGTGGCTGCCCCATCCCTGGAGGGGTTCAAGGCCAGGTTGGATGGAGCTTTGAGCAACCTGGTGGTGGGAGGTGTCCCTGCCCATGGCCAGGGGTTGGAACTCAGTGGTCTTTAAGGTCCCTTCGAACTCTAACCATTTTATGATTCATT